ATCACGGTAGGTACTATTTAACAGAAGTTCAATATAATTCCTATGCAAATAGCGAATATTCAAGAACTTCGCGTAGCTTGTGGCGCGGTGACCACTCGTTGTATGTGAGAGCCATTGACGCTCATGATTATGGCAGTGATGTTACGAATGCACTTCTGATGTTTACTTTCAAAGGTTGCAAAGCGGTTTGGTTTACTTAATGTGATCACTGCAAGTTTCAAACAATAAAAAAAGAAATTGCGATGAGAAGTTTGAGGACGACTATAAACACTAGACCTTTCGCATTCTACTCTCTTCTAACAAATCAATAACTACGATGTCGCTGAGGAGCAAGTCTCATGTCTGATTTACGTGAACGGTGCAGATAGTTTGATCTATAACCATATACCACTGGCACAGTTAGAAAAGACTGACAACAGAAATCTACCTAAATATAAGAATGTTATTTTCCTTTATATTCCTAGTTTCTTTATTTGAAAAAAGTACTAAGTTGTTTAATGATACCGAGGCGGAAATTTCAGCAAATGGCAATAGCAACGAGGAGGAGATTACTGAAAGTGAAGATATGTCGGTGGGTATCGTGAATCGCACTGCATTCCTAACGCAAAAATCCGCACCAGAAGCGTAGGTGGAATTATTTTCGAAATATGAAACTTAAGAAAGAAGATAGATTCATGCTATAAATGAGTAAACGGAGAACCACTAACAATGAATTCTTTTCGGATAAAACAGTTGGATACTGAACATTTGTTTCACGTCTTATTCCAGACGTAAAAGTCATGAATACCGTCTTAGAGACCATTTGGTATGTGGATAGATGCGGACCAATCGAATGATTTTATAACCATGTTTTGTGCCATTTTCTGGGGGTCCCTTCATGAGCGAACATCCATGCGGAGAGAACGAATTCGGTCGGTCTTAACGGTATTCTCTTTTGGGAGTGCGCACAGTATTTCTTTTCAGTTTATTTCAGCCACTAAACGCATGCACACAACTTCGGTGATCTTGGTGCTATTGTCTCTTCTAGAATCTCTCTCTCTCTTACTGCCTGTAGTAATCTTTCAACAAACGATGCAAGTTGGAATATATCTATCATATAGAAAAATATAGCCATGATCCGGATGAACAAGCATCCTATTGCACATTGAGTCTGATGAGTCAGAATTGACTTAAGATAGAAGAATGCAGGAGTATTCAGTAACTTACCACTTGAACTTTAATAGTTTCGATGAACTAATGTCTTTCTGGCCAAACGTGCGTAAAATCTAAGTTGACTGTGGCGTTCGTTGGTTGCTGTATGATGTTCCGGTTGGCTGTTTTCATTGGAGGAAAGCACACATCTAACTCGTCCATGAGAATTTTGAATGGCTTTCTCTTCACTGAAATTGTGGAAGACTGGTGTAGTTGTGAGCTTTTCAAGCTGTACAACGTCACCACTCATGCAGCTCACTTTACTAAAATATAATTATTGCATATAAAAATCTGAATCATTGATCGGTCCATTCGCAGTCCCTATTTTGATCCCAATGAAATTGTTTGTGGTTTACTTGGGAGGCAATTAAATTCAAATAAATCTTCAGTGTCATGCAAGAACTGCGATACAGTATCCAAAGAAAATAGTCTCAAATCATACTGTAAGTTTTTTTGGGGTGTGCCTTTTAGTTGTGAGCAGTAACGGTTGTTGCTTTCTATTACTGGACGGTTGTAATACCATTCGCTCAAGGGTTACCATAAAATAATTTCGCATCATTTAGCTCTTTATAATAACCCAATATAAGGATGGGACAAAAAAGACTATTTCACGATTCCTCAGATGTGCGTTCGTGAAAATGTGCAAGGCCAAGAGGTGCGTGCTCTTCGGGGATTCTTCTTTTATGAAGTACAACAGGACGTACCCAGTAAAGCTTCAGGTGAGCAAAAGAGGTATATTACATGAATAGAATTTCAAGTTGACTGTTCATCACACATTCGAGTATAAAAGAAAGTAATGCCCAGCGGAGTACAAGAGAATATTGCCCCAAGAGGACTGACAACCTTGCTTACAAACCCGTACTTCGGGGTGGCCACCGCGCGCTTCCAGGTGCCCATGAACCTCACTGTCTACCATGATTTAATCTAATTTCCTCGCCGTTACCGAAAGCCACACCAGCGTTAACAAATCAATGTCTTCGAGTCCTTAGAGCAATGTTAGGAAAACTTTGAGAAGTGATTTATTAGGGGGTGTCAATTTGGCGATGAAATTGAGATTGCGACTGCAGATGTCTTGGGTGAAATGCATTGCAGTGGCCAGGGATACACTCCTCATTTATAGTACATATTATACATTAAATTTGACTGGTTTGAAGGAGTGACGGTGGCAAACTCAGAGAGACTTGGATAATATACGAAGGTGTATTCGTGGGGACCTAGATGGGAATTACTTCAGAGACACGAACATTTTTAAACGGCTTGAACGCCCGTTAGATGTTGAAAAAGATCAAAGAAAAGAGTAAAATGAGCAAGAAACGGCCACTGGCCTTGGGGTTGCTTTGAATCGGAAAAGTTTAAGTTCACCGAAAAAGAAACAGTAGAACCAAAGCAGTTCGAATCTCAGATTCATTGCAATGATGGCTACTACATAACTCGATGGCTTAGATCAGAGTTGACCTTGGGTGGTGGTGCGCCCTATCTGTTATGCTACCAAGCGCATACTTCATGAAACCAGCTTTATTGCTGATCCGCAGGCCGGTTTCACCTTCGATTCTCCTTTTCTAAAAACCAACTTGTAGGGAAAATATAAAACAAAAAGTAGACAGTAATCGCAGTTAGTGGTGAATCACGTTCGCCAAGTCAGTGTTGTCTGCAGTACTACATATTGTTTTTGTGCGGAAAATTTCATGAAATTGAAAGTTCATCAAATGCTTCAGAACTGTAACTAATAGTCCGTGACTGCTTCTTTGTTGAGTCAGGATTCACTTTACTCAAATTTAGCCTCATATTAGCCACTATAATCGGAGGACGCACTCAGTACCATCCAAACCATTTAAACGTGAAAATTAATAGATAAAGACTGCTAAAGATTTCTAACAAGATCAAACGAGGGTTATGCCAAAGGCTCTTCAGCACCATGGGTGACCCATTACTGTTGCGTAGAAAATACTGATATACATTGTCTGTGCTGAGGTGACCTTTCCAGCTACCGAAGAGCCTGCCAGCATCTTCAAGGTCTTCAACAACAAAATTGAACTCGAGAGGTGCATTCGGACTTTTTAGCCCAATGTCCCTTATCTGCTGCTCACGTTCTGTGTAAATCAGTCGCCACCATATGGGAAAAAGTATGCCTATCCCGACAAAAACTTATAAATATGAGCAGCACGAGGATAAGTGAAGCTCACTCTCCCCGCGTGGAAAACGATGCATATTCGGGTTCAATTCTTCTGTCCATTTTCAAAATCCAGATGCTTCGATCATATGTGTAAGGTCGACATAAACTGTTCCTGCAGTTTCAAGTCGTTTCTTGCGCCCCTGGGGTGTGTAAATGATGTCAAGGCTATTTGCATTACAGAACAAGTGTTACTTGTCTTCTTACATCCTCCTAATAAGATACTTTGGTACTACCCAAATAATCTCTGAAACTGTAACAATATACAGTACACAGCTTAGTAGATAATAAGTGCTGAAATATTTGACGCAATCTAGAAATTATTGCATATACTTGAAATTATCGGACAAAAGGGGCAAAGTTCAGTTTTATGCGGCTTGTATCGGTATAATAGAAAAATAAATCCCCAAGGTTTTACACTCATCCGCTTGGTAACTTCTGGCTCTGGTAACAGCTGCAGACATCGTACAGTAGGTAAATACTGAAAACAGAAATGTTCAGGTATCTACTAGAAAGCAATCGCAAAGTCAAAATGAATGCAGATTTTCGAGTGAACCCTGGAAACTTGCTACAAATACGATGTTTTATATAGAAAAAGCCCTAACTTTCTTCGATTTTGATGTATCTTGGCACCTTTAGATTTAGATGGATGTATATCATAAATTCGTTCCTCATTCCTAAAACACGTCCAATAATATGTTCGCTACCGTGGCCAACAGCGATCGGAATCGATTAGCATAAGGTAGTCACAGTAAGTTTTGACAAATAAAGTCCATTTTTGATAAAAATGAACTACTCCAGTCAACTATCCTTTGTGAGTCCAAAGTAATCGCTAACTTTGGATATATGCCTCTTGACTGTCATCAACTTTATTGGTTGGGCAACTTCTACTGTTCTATTTCGCACCCAATCATGGCTCCCCAGAACACACAATACCGGGTTCTGTATTGTGTAGTAAATCAATGTCCACAACAATATATCTTGAAGGCTCTTGACTCGTTTGCGGTGCTTGTCTTTCACGACATATATCCAATATCCTTCTGTTAATCTTTTTCCACATTGATTCTCCCTAGGTGAGCAAGAATAAGGATCATTTAACAGCATAGCGTTAGATAAACATCAGCAACAAAACCACGAAACCGACCAAGTACTTCAAGGATATGTACTTCAGTCATTCCTATACTACCTATAATAAAACCGCCAGTAGTTGGCCCTGGTGCCAATTTGCTTGAGGTCAGACGCATCGAAAGACAAAGTACTATTATATTTGTCTTTATGGTTCTTCAAGTTTAGCTCGTCTCAGCAATTCTCCTTCGGACAAAAACGAAGACAGCGTAAGGTAATGACGGAATCTTCCGTTCATGCAGTGAAATAGCTCGTTATATTAGATATTGACCTATTTGTACAAGAGGGTAGATATTTCAAAGAATGTACATACCCGTATAATTTTTATAGAAAAAATTTACAAGGAACATAATTCACAAAATGAATTTGTAGGCCATTGAAAATGGTGATAAAAATAGCAACATGAGAAATTATGATCATGTTGCTGTATGTGCCTACATCTGTAAGAGGTGGGAAAATGGTATGGGTGTAAAAACTCAGTGGTTGCGAATGAGTGGTAAACTCTTCATTGAAATTATCCATCCTCAACCTGTTCTGGACAAGATTCTATCCCTTCTGGAACAGAATCATATGAACTATACAAACAATGAGCGTCGATCGAAGTGTCAATTGGTTCCGCTGCGCGAATCACTTGTGCATGTGGGACATGTATACAATTCAATTGCTCATCCCATCGTTTTGAGCGAGCCATCTGGAGTGAATTAGTTTCACCACTTAAATATCCAAAATAATCATAACCGGGGTTTGCGTAACCGGACGTCCAAGATTGCATACTGTGATTCAGTTTCTGATAAATGGGTGTTATGCTGTGGTGGTTGACTGTATTGCAGAACGAGTTATCTTCTAAACAGTTAATATCACTGGTCTTAAATGTGTGCGTCAAATTAGCGAAAGGATGTTCATTAATCTCTTTGTGCGCGCCTGATACCATATCGAAATCATCATTGGCGGAGTACTTTTGTGTGTAGGGATTTTCCGCTTGACATTGTGATTTCGTTTTCCATCCAGCCATGGCCAAGTAGTCTATCAGATTTTGACCGGTGAATTGGGGGTTATATAAAGAATCTTGCGGATTTGAGTTCCAGTCTGGTTGAGAGTAACCTACTGGTGGATTGTGTGCAGCAGTCTGTAGAGCATGAATGCGGGTCAGTGTGAAGCCGTTCTCCCATGTCGCGCACAACGAGTTGTCCAAGGATGTTTGTTGGTCGGATATGGCATCCGCTGTTTCTCTGGAGTGAGGGGAGTTCGTTGGCAGCATAACGGACTCAGTTTCGAGCATCGGCGTCGGAGATGTAGTGAATGGTGACCATGGGTGTAAACTGCTCGATCCAGTCAAAGACCATCGTTCTCCAAAGAATGAAGGCATTGAGCATGGATTGTAACGTTCTTGCCAATTGGAAAAATGTTGCATTCCCGAGGGTTCGGGTTTACTTGTACCGGGTCCGTAGGTAGATGTAAGAAACTGAGTCCAGCTGGATGAATGTTTGTCTTGTTTGGTACTTGTGGTTGGCAAGTTCTTATCTCCACTTATTCGTGTATCAGAAAAGGAAAATTGTTCCGTATTGGATGCACAGTTCACGCTATGCTGCAAGGCGGTGACTTCTTCAATACTTTTGTCTTGGGCTTGTCGCTTCACTTTATATCGTCGATTTTGGAACCAAATTTTCACCTGCATAAATCGATAATGTAATGAGTTACTAGAGCTCAAATCCATAATTTGAAATCATTAAAAAAATACCAAAAACGCATGCGAATAATTCACCAAGGTTCAGACGTACGCTGAAATAGCTTATATTTTCAAAAAACTTCTGAGGTTAGTTTAAAACCGCTGGGGAACGACAGAACAGCTTTGACAGGTGCGACACACTTACCGATTGTATTCTAATTGAGTTGACGGATGAAACTTAGACATACATAATACTCGAACAATAAGAATTTTATCACTTCAATCAGTTTTCTCTAAGCGACAGGAATATACGACCTCAGATTGCATTTCCATCAATTTATTTGTTCATCATGTTCAGTGTGTCATTTATGCCCATTAAAGTATAAACATTGTCTGCTTTATTTTAGTGGACTTGTCCGTAGTCATCGACAGTTTAAATTATTCTGTGGCATGTGAAACCTGGTTTTATCTGAGAATAATGCGTTCGTTAATGACGTGAACAGATTATTACTTTTCAGTCAGAATCAAACACAGATCACACGTAACGTGGCGAGCAAATGGTGATAAAAGAGGTGAAATGTATTTAAAGTGTACACCGAGTATATAAATATATATATATATATAACACCGGCTGGCAGAGAAGGATGGTGCCAACGCCACAACAATAATAGGAATTACAGTAACCGGATGGGGGGGTTGGGACATAGAACATTATAAAAGAAGGTGAAACTGTTAAAACGGAAAGTTGTAAATAACTGGGATAAACTCTTTTGTTTCACCACACACTTGAAATTATTTGTGTGTTAATTTATCGTTTTTTTTATGAGGCACGGGACTTCAACAAGCAAACCGGACTGCGCCACTGACTTCTATTCTGGACCATATCTCTCAGCGTCTCTAACCACGAACCATCATCATCCCTTGGGCCCCAACATGGAAGGTGGGCTGCACCAACCGGAACTAAAGCCAGCTTCTGCATGCCTCTACGCCATGTCATAGTCTGACCGCCGCGATGTTTCTTCCAGCCTTGCCTAGCATGTGTAAAAGGAGCACGGAAGGGTAGTCGACGGGCAGGCATACATAGTACGTGATCAAGCAACGGAGGCGGTGTAGAGCGATTACTTCTGTTAGATAACGACTATCCCCACCCAACGCACAACGATGAACCTCGTCTTTGGTGTCCGGCTAAACAGTACCTCAAAGTGCTCCGCCCAGCGTGCAAGAAGTCGCTGTTGACGCTGTTTGACGGTTCGCTCATTCATACCTACACAGATCGTTTCGCTCACACCCAAGGCTTTCCTACCGGTGACCCGGGTGAGATGATACACCGATACACGCTTGATTCATTGGCGATTCTCTATTTACATTTTAAAATAGGTGTCAGATACACTGTAGGAAGTAGGCAGTTTATGCTATCTGCGGGTTGCAAATAAACATGACAAAATCAGTTTAATGCTGATTTGACATCTCACTTTGATTAATGTAACCATAGAGTGGAGTGGCCAAGTGTTTCTAGAATTGCAAAAAGAAGAGAGTTCATGTTAGGTCGAACAGTTTTCCCCTTCCGGCACGCTGGTTAAAATGCCTATAGCATGCCTCCGTGATGGTTGCGCTGAAAGAAATCCGTAACTCACAGGTGCACACATATACAAACAAATAATCAATGTGTTCAACCAGGCATGATACTTTAGACAGAACGGGAAACACTTATTTGCAAATTCTGTCTGTTCACACTCGAATGATTCCGTGTTTGGGAAAGCAGCGATCATTCTACCAGAAATCTTAACAGTTGATAAGGCTAACCTATGAACTTGTTTGCCAGTGAGAAGAACATTGGGAAACATGTTTCCGTCAACATTGTTCTGAGGGCTTTGACGGTTCATAGTTCTGGAATATCAGATTAGGCAAGTAGAAACACATGCAAACAAAGCATCTTTGAACACATCACTCTTATTAAAGCATGTAATAATTGCTTCCAAATGTCATTCACCTAAGCGAATTGGTTAACAATCAGTGATTTATTTGTTTCCAGCAGTACACTATGCCTCTCAGTTTAAGTCAATGAATGCACTGGATGTGGGCAAATGGCGAATAGATCTCTGAGAATAATCCGATAACAACTAACCTAGAAATATCCTTTGAGTGTAAATGAATAGAATATTCCTTGAATTACAATATGCACTTCCTGAATCAAGACTAACTGTAGTTCGTTTATTAGTATATGGTATAGTTTATCAGTTGGGTGTTAATACAGAAGTATTTTTGTATGTATGTACCCTGCTTTCTGACTTAATAAAGCACATTGTTATGCATCAAAATGATGAGTTTATGATCACTAGTTACTTTTAGTGGAAAGATCAGCTTAAACATTTATGCCTGTATAATGTAATGTAGCATAAAACAAAATACGATTAATTTGACAGATCGACCAAGTATTATTAGAAGTTAGAAAACAAATTAACCATATCTGACCGTGTTAAACTCTATAGAACCATTCCACGTAGGCAATCAACCACACACTGAGAAAAATTCACACAAGAAAACCCATGATTTCAACGAGTATGTTGTTATCTCATTGTATAATGACGCAATCCTTTTTATGATGAGTTCGTCGTGTGAATGAGGCGTGAACTGAAAAGCTAGGAAGCACAGTTTTTTATCTGTTTGGATCGATGGATTCGTACTGCTGAGAACCAATCAGGTCGAAACAGCTGTACAGTGCTTCCTAGATTTTCAATTTGTGCCTTATTTACGACGAATTCATCATGTCGTCAAATCAAATCCTCCATTCCTTTCAAACAGTGGTCATTATCCAAAGTTAATATTTTTGACTTGGGCCAGTCTGCCTTTGGCTTAACTTGTTTGTTGTAGGCACAATGGAGCCATCGTGAATTCCTATGGAGCAGGAGATTATTCTTTATTATACTGTGCATTAATGGCAAATGACAATAACTATTATCACAGACTGCTCCTAAACAAGCATGAAAAACTAAACCAATTGATGTCCGTGAGTTCACAGGAAATAAAAGTCATTCAAACCATACAAACATGCACTCTAAGTCTTGTCCATCTACTATGCAGCTCTAAAACAGTGGTTTCCAACCCAACCATACTGATTATTCGAGTCCTGATATGAACATCGAGATGGTGCACGCTGATATTGAGTCGCAAAAAATACGAAAATGCTATCTCTCTGTTTTCACACAAACGCATTGAAAATTAAATTGAAACGATTAAATGTGCTCTTCAGACAACGGATTTACTAATAAATCAACTGCTTAGGAATGCCCTATTCATTCATATCAAATCACGTATTATTGGGTTTTTCAAATCCAGTCATGCAATACCTAAAGTGCGGGAAAGGTCGGTACAGCACACAGGGAACCACATCCGCAGGTGATTCAAAAGGCGGAAGTCTCAGCACATATGTTCTTGCTCGTCACACAAGCAAATTCTGGTATATTGTCTTTGATCTATGCAGGGGTACACCGTCCATAGCCATCACATCATTCGACTAGGTTGTTCGTTAAGGGCGCAGCATGTGTACTGGAATCGACCGAGTGCTCTGTGCGGTGGTGTAGCCAAGAGAGTGACCGAAATGGGAGACAGTTCGTTGTACCCCTTCGACTCCTTTCGAAGGAACACCTAACTCATGCCATCCGATGGCATGACCTACACGCCTCAGATTAATAGTTGAACAATAGGTCATCAGTGCGCACACCACTACTTCAGAACCAAATCATGGAACATAACATGATAAATGTCAATGGTCTGGAATTTACGACTAACGACCCCCCGTCACTCACTATTTAAGCAATGCAGATTTGCAAAACAGGAAGCTAGTCACGAGTTCGATGTCTGTCTGTAAGAAAGTACCCTGGAACAGTTGTCTGTTCTGTCTTCGCAAAGGATGACGCAATCCAAGGGACGAAAGGAGACTACTAACCAGTGTTGCAGCAGCTGTTCAACAGAAGTGAACAGATCGAAAAGAGAATACGGACCTTGATCAAAAAGGATTCCAACCAACCACCCCCTGTGGGCACATTCTGACGAATCACGAACAGCTTCGACTGAAGCGATCGAATGTTGTCGGGGTGAACAATGTCCGAATCGGATGTTGAAACATTGCCGAACTAAGACCAATGAATTGAATATAAAAACCGGGAAGACTCTTACCACCCAAATGCATTTATGATAATCGCAAACGGCTGCTTTGTTCAAATAAATCATTTCGCTCCACAATTTTCATAGTAGATGCTAATACTTTGAACCGTGAGGTAATGTTACCTGAATATTCGAATGAGTTGAACTTAATCACAGAAATCTTGTCTAAACCAAGTGAGTTCATGGTCCGAAACTTTGTTGTTACAAAAAATGAATCAGTGCACAAGCGAAGAATGTTCCTTTTATGATGTGGATGAAACAAGAGCAATATGGGATTAATTATTATCCGAAGATGAGCCTACAATCTATCCAAGTCGCAAGAAATCGTCATGGAGTATTCAGTCGTTTGTGGGTTCTCAGTGCACACGGAAATTTCTAAGAATGTTGAGTGTTAAAGCATACAAGTTGCATGCAGTTTGCTGATAGCTAAAATAAGGTTTGTAAATCAAGAGCTTTTTATCAGCAGTCTTAGAGTTACGTAAACCACACACGCTGTAATGGAAAAGGAGTGTACTAATTTCCAAGAAGATTGAATTTTGGTTAATTAATCTGAGTATTGATAAAAGCTGATTTTTAAAATATATCAGCTCGCATCACGAGTTTGTTTGGCCAACCGTTCAGAAATCTGCGATTCAAATGGATTTTCTTATTTTCCAGACAAACATTTGCGGCTGCTTTGCAAGTCAAAATCAATGCAATTCGTGGTAGAGTAGGAGTTTGAAAATAAGGGACAACCGGTTACCCAAACGAATTAACTTCAACTACCTTGTAAACTTAGAGACCTTTTGAATATCTATGCTTTGTGTCGAAATTCAGTTGCATCGAGAGGCTAATTACTGTCATCTGATCTACCCAAGGGGATTAACCCGAGTCTTCTCAAATGTGATTGCTGACCCGGCTACCACTTTAACAAATTTGTCGTTCGGCGTTGACCGAAAAACTCACACTTTAGAAGATCTTAGTTATCACGTCCCATTGATAGAAGGCAACAATTAGAGTTGCTATTATACTTTGAAACTGTAAGAGTGCTTCTTCAGATGCCTTCCAAACGACAGTCAATCCAGGAGGAGTTAGAACAAATCCACGGAAAGAATCACAATAACACAATAGTGACTTTGATTTAAGGTGAAAAATTGCTGACTGATCATCTGTATGGGGAGGAAAATCAAGCTCAAACTGACAATCGGCGGTTAAAAGCCTCTCATTTCGATGTGAGAACCTCCGTTGCGTACCAATTTCGTCTTCATGGGGATCATTATTGAATAGTGTAATGTCAGGAAGCTGTAAGGATAGGCCTTTCTTATTATTCATTAACTATCGAGAATTTACTACTAACATTCAGGTAGTTTAACGGAAAACCTTTTGATAACTAATTTGAGCGTCTTCAGGAGTATCAATTTATAATGAGTTGGTTAACATTGCCGTCATATTTCCTCTTACCCTGTAATCTGTGTAACAATTTCAAAGCCTTAGGTTGTTACAATGAAGCGAAGTGTAATATTATGACTGAGCTACAAATATGACTCCAATCAGAGCAAGATCAAACTAGACTTAAGCTTTACACGTCCAACTTAATGATGGAGTTCAGGGTTGATTTCTGGTAAGCTTCAAATAATGAGCGTGTTTTACTGAATATTGTATGGTACGAAACCCATACCAGATACTTTGTTCCGGATTACAGAACATTTAGGTAGTCGGCATAAGTAAAAACGATAATTAAATGATGAATTCGTCGTGCAACTGGGGTGCGAGCTAAAAAGCTAGAAAGCACAGCTGTTTCGACCTACTCCGGTCATGTGAAAAATAAAAAATATTACCTGTTGCGGTGACATTTTTAAACTCAGAGCCAACTGCTCTCTCTCCTGAGCGGACAGATACCGTTGTTGTTTGAATCGGTGCTCCAACTCATAGATTTGTGCCTGAGTGAACAGAATACGCGGCTTCCGTCTGCCTCGATGACGCATTAATATGAATTCGCCAGCGGAACCTCTTTCCGGATAGCGTCTTGTTTCCATTGGTCGTTTGAGGCGGAGCAAATCCAACGGTGATTCATGTCTGTCCTCAGGTGGGGTGATCGAGTGAACAGGCGCGGGATTTGACTCGGGGAGATGAAATACTCCGAACATCGACCCCAGTCGGGAAACGGACACATTAGGGGGAATTGAAACTGGTGTATGAGATGACGTAATTAAGTGAGACATACAGCGCGTGCTTGACGGATATTTCAGCGGATTGTATGGTAGACCACTATCTCCGGAATGTGAGTCTAAAAACGAGAAATGGGTATTAATAAGTAAGTCATTGGCTATTCTGATGATCATACGGAAAGCGATGTGGTTTTCAAATTTTTATTTCCAGAAAATGAATTTACAAATGAACTGGAGTGGATCTACAAATAGGTTTATACAACTTCTCTAACTAGGTTGATGAACAAGGTCAGCTATCTACTACCAGTAAATATGCGCCTAGCTTTGACGATAAAAGCGGTTGAGTGCAAAATCCTTGATTTTCGGGATTCATAGATAAGAAAACCTGAACGTATAATTTTTTCAGTTAAGTGCTGAAGCGCGACGCTTGGGATAACCTTCACTTATGACGGGGATTGTATGCTATCTTCTCCCTGATCTACACAACTGTGCAGTCCATATTTAGAAACCGTTGATGATTCTCAGTCATCACTGAAACTCAGGGGAGTATGATCTCTAAGTTTGAAATGTCTCAGTCCTGCTACACCAGACTGTGGCAGGAGGCTTTAACCATAATTTCTATATACAACTTAAAAACTGGCGAGGGAATCAGTTGAAAATTTATCCACTTCGTACTAGCAGTTTCCTTCCTACCATGGAAATGAAAGTTTCAAGGCTGAGATCCAGTCACTNCCGGGGGGGGGGGGTGAGTCGGAGAATCACTGTGACAACCACAGGCAAACGTTAAAACTTTGATATATCTTGATCAACTATATCCTCGGTTGTGAATGGAGTAGAGCCATTAGTGAAACTACATAATGAAAAGATGCAAAGAACGCTTTAACAAATCGAAACCAAGTAAGCAGTAAACGTTACTAGTGTTGATTCTTTTGCTTGAGAATACAACAAAGCAAAAGTGGCTTACACAATCATCACCGAGAACTCAACCGTTTTTGGAATTTGCTGCCTACGAACTGGGTCTTAATGCGGCGAACTACCCGGAGTTCCAGAACGGCGACTTAGTGTTGAACTCACTGAAAGAACAGTGGTGACAACTCCACTTCGAATTTGAAGGGAAGTGACAGTAACTTAAACACTCGAGGATTACGACCGATTTCGAATGCTGTAATAAGGACGGTAGGAGCACCGCGACACAGTTAATCAGTTCAACAGAGATGAACGTCTCGCAGGCGTTTTGATAAATAGCCAGGAAGAAATATGATCAAGAGGTGCGCCCAAATTGATCACAGAGATTCATTTGAATATAGTGTGTTCCACGCACTTCCCATAAAACAAGCAGTGGTAAATAATTTTAAATGCTTTTTATTGTACACGCGATTTTCTGGGGTGTGGATGCGGTCAATTTCTGAATATCTGAGGGAATACAGAAACTGGCGGGATTCGAATATTGCTTTGGGTTCTCTATTTTGAAAACATCCACCGCTGGCCCACCATCCCCCATAAAGCACTTTAGTAGCTATCAGGAGCTAAGCTAAATTAGTTGAAGATTTTACCATTGTGATCGCTCTGTCGGTAATACCTCTGTTTTACTCATCGATATATCTCTCATACTCCATAATCCAATCAAAAAATCTTAATAAAAACTACTTTTCACACACTTGTTTGATTTCCTTTTCTCGCTGATTGCAGTGAACACAGTTCCTTGGTTTTATTGAAGAAGGAATCGAAAATCCGAACAATTTTACTGATATACTGTGAGTTCTATTTTGCGATGCATCTGATGGTCAAACTGGATAGTCAAACCTGAAAACTGGTGGATTCACTCTGAAAATCTTATCTCCTCGTATGACACCATAAGATATTTCGTTCACGAGTTGTTCATTGCCGATGAAAAATAAAGCAATGCTAAAACCCCAATCTGTGATGAGGTCCGGGTGCGATGGCATGAATAAGTATGGATAACAGATATAAGACAAACTGATGCTGTAATAACCTCGCATATTGCTCCCGGCCCCACAGAACTCCAGGATAGAGTATTTTAATGCTGATTAACCGAAGCAATATTCCTGTAAACTTCGTTGGTACTGAGCAACCAAATCCAAGCAAATCCTCTTCCAGAAAGCATGAATCGGGAACAAAGTACTAATACTACTACTAAGGAATATGGGTATTCTTGTTTGGCGTCTGACAAACGTATTGGACCAGGTAATCTGCTCATCTCCTGATTGAATTTGTGTTTGTATGCCTGATCGATTCTAAACAAATATTTGAGTACTAGTTGAGGTCAGAAGCGACTCGGATGGGTTACTTTCCTATGACACATTGACGATCCCGAAAACGGGACTTTGAAGCTCCCGTTGGAAATCTATTATTCTATCATAGAAAAGTTAAACTATTGAAAGTTTTTCGAAAACAAATGACAGCCATTTCCATCGATCCAAGCTGACTGATTCATTAGGTAGTAAATTTGATCACACAATTTACTTTTTCAAAGGCAATATACACTATAAATGTCACCTTTGAAATTGAATCAAATCCTCCATTACTCTCACACAACTAACTGTTGATAGAAGCACAAAAAATATGCCTCCATGAAGAATTACTTAATTGCATGCAAAGTATTTTTACTTTGTAAGCAGGTTGAAAAGAATTCCGAACCGTAGAATTTCGAACTTTATATCCTCGACGATATCAAGCGGAAAAGCGGATCCACAGTTAGCGACATTTTATCATTTTTTGGAACGTTTGTATAACAGAAGATATCATTATAGCCTAGAATCAGGCCGTATGATCTTTCAACCCAAATGACCTACGGATATTGACTAATCGAGGTAACTTGAATATTCCCTTGATCCAAACGGGCCAGTCGAACAGCACTCACTGAATAATTTTTTTCTGCAACATTAAGCTCATGTTTGTAGTTCACTTCAATTTATGCTGTTGAGTGAATATGCAGCCTGAGAGGCATCAAATCATTGTGACTAAAGACCTATCCTAGTAGGAACGTTCGATAAGCGTCATAACTAACTATAAATCGATCGATGTCACAGATATTATGGGTAGAATATGGATGCTTCACTGTTGCTTTTCTAACTGCAGTTTAACTAATGGTGCAACCAAAAGACCAATTATGTGTTATAACTGATGAGAAGTTTAGCTGCAATCTGCCTTGTTAATTTGTGCAGATGCACGTTGCAAGACCATTCACATTTTGTATATATCGTCAACATTTAGATTCCCCACTTGAAACGACATTAATCCTCAGTGATCTTCAAAGACATTCCTAGGAAAATCGGCTTTAATGAAGGTAATCAAACACTAATTTAAAGTGGATTCATAGAAAAAGTCGATGTGTGAAAACTGGTCATCGATGAGGTTATCATTAAATCTAACGAAAGGTGATGTTTTAAATTGTCATTTCACTACTTACCAAATGGGAAATCCTTCAAATTGCGATCAATGAAAGAACAATCGCTAATTAGTTCGTGTTGTTCATTCATAGTTCTGTTGAACCTGGCTCCGTGGATGAAGGAAACCAATTCACTATCATGTTTCACAGGTAAAAAGTATTCATCGGACCTTATTGTCCCTTGTTCATCAATCGTTTGTGTGGTGGTCACTGGGTTTGTACATTCATTAAGTGAGGGAGATGTGATAGACGTTAATCGAGCATTGGTTTCCGTTGTACTGATGCCCATTGGAGAGAACTTTGTCGGTGCTTCATTCTTTATCACTTCCTGATGATCTTTCATCAAATGATACGGTTGTTCGGTAGTCAAGTCATTACTGCATTCATAAGGTATATGGTTATGTCCCGTCCGCATGTTGCATCCAAACAATGAGGCAATGCCATCGGTTTTGTGATCAGGATGGAGTTTGTTTGGATTATCTATGCAGCCGTGAATCTTCATGTTGGAACCCAATTCTGCATAACCATGATCAGAAAAGCAAGTGGATTCTCCGCAAGTTGCATACATCTTGTCGGGGATCACGATCAGACAATAACAGCAGAGTGGATAATGTGATCGACGTTCGGTGTGTTCTTTGCGCACGGAGCTAATTTCGCGATCGGTTCGCAATGCGGTACAAGTAACAACAATAACACCGAGGTCGGAAAGAACAACAACAATCACGGGAATACGAGGGATGAAAACAAACAGGAACGCCAAACCTTGACGTGATGCTGTGATGGCACTCAATCGAATGCCCGTTTGGCGGAAAACATTACCGATAGACCACGGGGGTGTGGGACACAAAAGAAACTCTGGGGAAGCGTTTTATGTCTCTTCATGTGTATGTGTGCCCGTGCATTCCTCCTCTCGTCCTATTTTGTTCGGGGATGATAGACTGCGCGCTCCAGACTAGGCAATAACCTATGAGAGCCGGCATAACCGCACACGTAGTGGGAACAAGTGTGTGTGTGTGTGTTTGGATGGATCTGGGTTAGAGAAGGTTAGAGAGGTTAGAGAGAAGGTGCTGACTGCCCATTGGGGAACGTGAACGAAGTCGATTCTGATTGGTCAGTTCTTCTCACTTCCCTGTTAGCGTACCGACAACAAGGGGTGAAGCTGGGGTAGATGGCGAGAAAATCCAAATATTTCTTAGGCCGCACTTAAATTTTGTTTGCCGGCAAACGTTCCCATATGATCTTTCCACAATGCGAATGCCACAGGGAAGAGAATCGCCCACAGAAGCACTGATACAAGGAATAACTCCACTTATAATATATATATCAATAATAATAATATATATCAATTTATCATGTTAACAAATCAAAATTCACCATTCACTCGCATACGACATATCAAAGCAGCGAAAATCGTTAACCTTATTGGTGATTCTGTGATTGTTTCCGTGCACTGTTTCAATTGCATTGATTCGCGTTAAAAAAGGATTACGGGCAATCCTGAGGACACATGGCTTCTTTCTGTATTCGCATATGCCTGCCTAGGGTGGTGTTTGCTAGACAGACATTGTTT